CAGTTATACACTAAAGTCTCTCCATCTCATTCAGTTTTCCGGTACCACGATATTATAATTTCTTCTCTTTACTCCAATTTTCTCCAATTTCACGTACTACTGGTTACTTATTGCTTTTTTGTAGTTCCTTATACTAAGACATTCAGCTGCGCTATCAACTTCTGCGTATGTTGGATGTGGATGATTCATCACATGACGATACATGGCAATCGTTAAACGTTTCCTGCACTTTGACTCAACTGTTTTGTTCTGTATGCTGCCAATCAAATGATTTGGATGTATGTCAATCAGAAGCATGGATTTGTCCAAGCTGTGGAAAACAGTTCCATTCGTCTACCATTGAACAGCTCCTAATAGAACGAGTGAATCAGCTTCTGATAGCTTATACAATACAAGATTTCAAGTGTACGCGTTGCGAAGCGGTAAGCCTTCATACGTTATATCTGATGGAGTTATTCTGAACGACATGTTTTATCAAAAAGCTAACGTTGTATGATTCAGTTAGTCATTCGGATAACGGGGATCATTTTCAGGTTCGAAGACATAATCTGTCTTTATTTTGTGATTGTTGTGGTGTTGAAGAAAACGTTATATCACCTGCCGAACTTCGTTTCAACCTGGAGACGGTCGGGAAAATTGCTCAGCAACATAACCTTACACGTTTAGCTGAATTGTGTGGATGGACTCTGTTTTGATCTCTTATAATCTTTTTAAAATATTGCCTTAAGCGCAGCCTTAAATGTCTGGAAGCATGACTATATGGGACTCTAGTTGAAATATTTCAAACGAACTTCTACTTAGCATTCTCAGCGCTTTGAAGTAATGGTTAAATTTCAATGCTCTTACCACTAATTACTAATTATGTCACCAGATTATGCTACCTTCTTACTCTATACTCGTATTGCCACTATGTATTTACTTGCCTTTTATTAAGAAACCGCGCCTTTATTTTTATGATTGTCGATTACATGTCCTATTTCTTCTCCATACCTTAAATCTATCCTCTTGGATTCACCAAGTTTCCATTACCATTGATTGATTATGTGGATAAATTTGAGCAATACTGTCCATGCAAATTACCTAACTTATCATTTCCCCACAGGTTTGCTTTCGAAACGATATAGTGGCACTGTAGTATATTTCCTTATGTTTTTAGTCAAACAGATAATGAAGAGACGTTACAATTAATACAGTTTTCTTAGTCTTTCCAGATGAAAATTCGGGGCGCTAATTTAAATTTAAATGTTCAAACGTAGTTTTGTAGGTCATAACAACTAAATTTCTTTGAATGGACGAGAAAAACATGGCAAATTTTTTTAATTTTAGGTGGAGTGTATCATTTCTTAAAGGATGCAAAAACTATTTTTATTCCATTCACAGTACAAAAAGTAAAAAAATCACAAAGAAGTAGGTGCTAGAAATAATTTCACATTGTTCAATGTCAATATATAAACATTGCATTAATGGTTTATTTCCACTCATTTTACCATCAATCCAATTCGTCTAAGGGATTGTTGCTAGACCACTTTGTTGCATCAACTGTTTGCCGACATATTGGACAAGTATTGTGCCTCCTAAGCCAAGGTAATATGCACTCCCGATGAAAAATGTGTTGACATTCTAATATTGCTACCAATTCATCCTGAATTTATAATTAACATGGACTTATAATTCAGTGACAAGTTTTGCACTGACTTCTCTATAGAATGTTCCACTAGCACCACAAATATAATTAAAAGGCTTCAAGCTCTGGAATATGTTAGAGACAGATACATTACTTATACTGTTCCTTCTTAGACAAAGGCCAGGATTCTAGAATTCTATTAATCTAATTGCCAAGTATGCGACTAGTTCATAACAACTAGGAAGCAGTTCGGGTGGTACTCATTCGCTGTCATTTTTGTGGTAACTTTTTCAGTAACGCTTATATGCACCAACAGTGAACTCTTGGGTGATAGAACTCTCTTTCTAGCCTCACATGCATCTGAATCTTCTTATTTAAGTACGCTTTTCATTGAATAAATTCTGATTTTTGATGTTTGCTGCCACCGCTGAATTTCTCATATATCAAATAATGAAAGAACTGTGAATATAGCTGAAACTTTTGTGATGATCAAAGAGATAAGGTAATCACCGATCTTCTAGCTTCACAATAAATCATTTAATTTGAAGCAAAGTGCACAAAGCACCTTAAAGCTTAGGGCAATATTCGAATCTTCAAATCACTATTAAATCTAACCTTTTTGAAAGTTTCCATGCATGTAGTACACTGTGCGCCACTGTCAATATGCTTTGGCTCCACCACTGTCATAGGTAGGTTGGCAAGCAGTTTAGGGTCGACAGGAGTTGAACCACCCTCAAATTGATTTAACAGCTGTGTGACAATTTGATCCAAGCCACCTTCTCCCCATGCGTAATCTGCTACTGGACCATGAAGAACACTGGAATTTTTCCGATAGAGGCGCATTATTTTCCAACTTTTCATGCTATAAATCTTCCAAAAACAAATAGAATTAATAAGAATTTCACTACAATGGAATCGACATTTACTAAGCGCAAAAGTGTGGTGACGCGCAGCGCGGCTCACGTGCGTGTTAACTGTGAGATCGTGCTTATTCTCCAGATGAAAGCGCTTAACGAATAGGTCGCCAACAATGTATTGCGTAAAAATCAAAGCCTAAGAAGGCTACACTGACTTCACTTCGATTTCTTAACCCATTTTTCAAATTATTCATTAAATGACACTTAACAGTTGATGATAGCAACTGATAAATTAATAAAGGGGTAACTGAAAATGTTTCAGATTTTTGATAATTGAAAGCAACAACTTACTTTCCATGGGCATTTGGATCACGAGTAATTTGTAGCTGTATTTGAGCTCCTTGTGCCGATAAATTTGTAAGTAATTGATTTAGGAAAAGCAGTATAATATTTTCATCTTCTCCACCACCTACAGAAGGTCCATGCATAAATCGTATTGATGAAGGTTGCTGGTGCTGATCCGATTGCTGCTCAGCGTTACTTGAAGAACCTACATCTGCATTTCCATGCTCTCCATCCGAAATCATTTGGCCAAAGAACTAAAACTGATCCTTTTCTATCAACTTTCTTAACTTTATTTATCTGCTGTGGTAAATGAAAATTTTCACATAACTATAATGATAATTTAAAAAGTTTCTGGAAGAAAATGAAAGAGAGCATACCATCCCAAATGGTGACATATATGACCTGCTATCTGTGGGAAGTTCTTCAATAAATTCGCTACCACATCGTGCACAAACAAAATCCTTGAAACCTTCCACTTTAAGCTAGACAAAAATCACATAGACTACGATAAAAAGTAAACTTTAAATAACCTGTGAATATACACAACATGAAAAGTTGCTCGCGAAAAATGGAACTAAATCTATGCAGGCAGACTAAGCAAAATGATTCAACGAAATATCCTATCAATTTTTTTTTAACAAGATCATGATCAAGCCTAAATTGTAGTCGTATTATCATATCCATGAGATACACTTTCAGAAATCATTTACATTGTATAAAAACCGTAGAAAAAAAAACTTACCCCATCTCTCAATGCCACTCCTTGCTGACAGTTGTGGCAATAATATGTCGACATTGACATCAAAATAAAAATTAGCTGCCTTAAGTGGCAGATAATCCACTAGCTTGTCTAACTGAAGTAAAAAAAGTCAATTATCGATATGATATCAAGCACTCATGAACTGATCACAACGTTATACATTATGGACAAATCTGTACCAAAGGATATTCATTACATTGAAGATGAATTTGCTAAGAAAGCAATTTCCATTTGCATAACAGAAGAAAATTGAATGACCAAAGTGAATTGAAAACCGTAAAAGAAAATGGCTCAATTGCTGATACTGAGTTCATAGTAAGAGACATGCTGTGAAAGTTTTAAATCATTTCACGTAATTAAGAGTAACGAACAAATTGAATTCTAGTATTTATATCTCACGCTTCATTAGCTGCTAAGAGAAAACTGCACCTTCTTGAGGGCGGCTTCCTGGTTCGGTACAAAAAATTTCCAATATTTTGGAATGCATATACCATAGCATTCAAAAATATGCAATAAGCTGGCTTAGCATCTCAAACTATACCATTTCTTCCTCAAACGAAAGATGGTAGAGCCAATGGAAGAAGTTAGAACTGAAATTAGTAATTCAAATATTTTTGAATCATTACATCCCAAACTTGCTGTAACTTAGAGATTATTGAAGATTTTAAAGCAGATATTTAGCTAAAAAGTAATTTTCTGAATACTTTAGTAATATTTAAATTCCAAACGACAGCAGAGTCCAAGGTTCTGTGGAAAAGTTGTATCTCGCGGTGATGCAAAACAACCACATGGTAGAAAACGAACTCTAAGTAATGAGTTAGTCTCACTACATCAGGATGAACATCAATGCACAAACGAAAATCTCACTTCAACTTTAATTTCCTTAGTTGCTCAAGCTGATAACAATCAACGAAACAGATAAGTATAGGCTTAGAGCCGAATTGTTCATTTGATTTACTGTTATTAACACTTTTATTGCGAAAAAAAATAAGCGAAATAATAACAATAACATAACAAACGTAATCATTCTCAAAAAGATAGTGAACGTAGACTTCTTTACATCCCAAATAGTTTTCTTCACTAACTTATCATTTCAATTATCACTAATCACGGTTAACTCTTTGCAATACGTTTCCTACTCACAGCAAGACACATCCCAAACAGGCTAACGATAGCAATTTTCAAGCTAACAATTTCTTACAATTTACCCGTTAATCAAATTACCAAAGGTTCACTATTATTGTAAAGAAAAAATAGTGAAACTGGAATTAAATGAATGAAAATTTCATAGCAATAAAGCAAAACAAATCTATCGTCGTTTATTTCCTCGTTTTTTTCCATGTGTTCGCACATTTGGATTCCGCCCAGTTTTTTGCAACGACCGTATACCCAATATTGCTGACCTAAAATCAAAAATGATTTATTAATGGTACAAACAAAGACCACTGCTAAGCAAATCTGACTTAATGCAACTACTAAATACAATCTTTAATTCATTCACACCACCTTCGTAACCTTTTCTTTTAATTGTAACAATTAAATTAAAATTCCAAACCATAAAAAAACCTTTCCACTCCTAACACATGTAAATTACAAATGAATGAAGTTCAGTTTTCAAGAAAACTTTATTATTCCTAATAATTCCATATTGATAATGCTACTAACTACTCTTCAAAGTCAAAATTCACCTGCTCGTTACATCGTTCATAGCGAACGGTCTAGTTTCCGTTGGATCCTGGTGACAGCGAGCCATTCTGTTTTGCGGCATGGGTTGGTCTTCAAAAAGCTGCGGTCCTCCAGGATGTTTTCCACCTAAATATTGTTAAAAGAATTAAAGAAATTCCCATTTCTTATGCTGCGTCTCTTGCACAGGAAGAAAATAGCTTGTACTAATCAAATGTCATTTAAACCTCATGATATCAGCCATGCTTTTTTATACCTTACGGCAATTTTGCACCTGACCTTAAAGAGGACAGACCGTCTTTCCGTCATCTTATATGTGTAAAAATTTTGAGAAAATTAGGACTCAAAACACCCAATAACTACACACGACTAAATAAAGTAATAGTTACATGAACTTGCTGGAGTCTGAGAAGTTAGAGGGATCAAATTTCACCGGGTTTAGTTTCACTAAATTAGTTTTTAACTTAGCTATTATTACAATTAAATCCCTTAACCTGTTACAGGCAAAATCAAAAGAATCAAACCTATCATTTGAAGTAATCTAAAAACAAATAAATGATTTGTTTATAATATTGAAAGCAAACCTTTCGGGGCGGGAAGGGAGTACTTAAGCCCACGTGAAGACTGCAGCCGATTCCAGTTGATGTGAAGTTGCAGCGTACCATCTTCAGCTACACTAACAGCAACTCGATGCAGTGAGTCATTTCCGCAACGAGGACAAAAACGTTTCGTCATCACAGTTGTTGTCGCAAAGCACGCCCAACATCTTTAAGAAAATATTTCCACTTAATTCTAAAAGCGAAGGCTAATATCTTTTATCTAGTAAGATAAATATCTTTTTTCCGATTCATAAATTATCTGTTCATAGCTGAGAAAAGCAAAAGCTTAGGGAGGTCCTCGACAATCTGTTTTTTTTTCTTTTTTAAAATATATGAGCGCTCTTGATAAGAGAAAAGACTTAAGTCACTCATGAGTTCTCACTCAGAGAGACTAACTATGTGGACCGGAAACTTTAACTGGAAACACAACGATGCATTATCCTCCCTTCTTTATTTTATGCAAACACGAAATAATAATAATTATCCTCCTCTCTTTATTTCTTCTCCTTCCTTTCTTTCATTTTTAGGATCTGGTTACTATCCTCCCCGACCGTAAGATATATTACTGATTCTTAGGTCCCTGACAGGAACTGAGTGGTGGTATTTTAAAATCCATAGACTGCATAAATATAGTGTTTTGATATAATAATACCAAAAAAAAAAGAAGGAAAAATCGCAAAGTCATGATCACTTCGACGAATATACGTCGAATATTTGTGTTTTCTATTAGAATGTATAAGTTTTAATAGGTAAATCATAGCTTCTAAATCTACCTGAGAATATAATTATTCAATCGGTGTATTCTGTAGCCATTAACAGACAATAAATACAGACCCAAACGAAGAAGGACGTTCTGCATAGCAAAATCTGTCGTAACACATGCCACCTAAAATATAATTAAATGCTTTGCTAACTACGTACACTTCCAATACTAAATGTAAAATCAAATCTAGCCTGAAACATCAGTTTAATTGTATTAGTTAAAATTAAACCTTCATTTCCTTTTCAGGAATCGATATTTCATCAGTGTGTCCTAATATTTCATCCACATTACCTTCACTTAACCAAGTACCACCATCACTGCTGTTACTACCAATACTAGCATCGTCACCAACATCAATGACACCTTCCATTTCTCCTGACTCTGATTTTCCTTCAGTTTCCGTAGTCCCCTGCAACGTATGATAATGATACTAAATTGATCACCTTATTTCGAGAGCAAAGTTACAGAGAAGGTCAGGAAAGAGAGGGGCGACACTTCATCCAATAAGATACGAAAAAATAAAATCACATTTTGAATGGTCGGCAACATTAAGCACATTATTTGAACTACTAAGAAAAGATACTCAATAAAATCTAACGTTAAATTGTGAAACACTCACTTCGTCGATTTGGACATTTTTATCATTCGTCGTTACTGCTGTGTCTTTTGTTTTTCGGTAATTAGTTGTTGGTTTGTCATTAATCATTTCTAAATCATAGCGTAAACCATCTTTCCCATACTGTTCCAAATGAAGATCATGTACCAATGACAGTAATTTTAAGTCCACTGCCGATAATGAAGGGTAATCACCGGTTTTCTTCGAAAATTCGGTAACTGGAACAAACTTTCGACATACCGAGATACTGATGTAACTCCAATCCTGGTTGGACTGATTAAATTTCCTAACAATATTGTCAATTGTTTCGCTCAATTTAATGTCATAAGTGAGGAATAATCAATATTATTAACTAATACATGGGACTGAAAAACAGTTTTGCATGCTCTAACATTTTTCAGTACTTTTCGATTCAGAATTCAACAATTGCATGATAGAAGAACAGCACTTTACGAAAGACATGTCCATTAATTCAGACTCATGGGCCATAAAAACCACTCAAACTTTAAGGCACCTGAGCAGACAGCAAACGTTTGCTAGAAAAGTCACCAGGTAACAAAAACTACAGTCACCGAACACCAAACAACTATCCATCATAAATTCAAGATAAAGGAAAATGTGTAGTGTACCATTAAATCGCACTAATTCGAATAAATGCAATGAAACTAACTGATATGGAGAGATTCGGCCGTTGGTTCTCGAATGCGGATCTGATACGGAAGACTGTCAAGTAAATAACGCATTTTCTCACATTTTAATTCACTGACCACTCCCGACACCGTGTAAATCTCTGAGGCTAGATCCTGAAACCCCTTAGTAAAAGGTACGAAATGGCGGTTAAACCCTTAGCAAGAAGAAAGCAGCTCAAATTTTTCTTGATTTTAACTGACGAAAGGAACGAAGAAATAAGTGATAATTAAGAATATCGCTTATGTTAGCATACTGTCAACTGCAGTACTTACATGCAAAGGTACTCGTTTGATAAATGCATTGGCGTCAGCCACCAACTGTCGTACAGGGACATCTTCAGGGGCCTTCATAATGCTTGATTCCACAAACCTACAATTCAGCTGATGGTTTTTTTCACGCAAGCTCCTTTGGCCTTTGCTCCTTTGCTAGTTGAGCTGAGCTTGAAGCCCTAACCAGTTATACAGATATCATGCTAGCTAACTTCATTCAGCACGATGTTAGTGATGTATGAGTGGACATGATGTCATACGCTCGATGGGTTTAATGACCGTAACAAACACGTAAATGTATAAAAAATACATTTGACTTGGTGACAATATGAACAGGGATAGTGAGAAGGATATTGTGACAAGACCTCGTTTAGGAGTAATCCATCACCGTACACTCATCCCCATGTCGCCATGCGCACCATCGCAAAGTAATCTTGAAACGGGCACGTATCAACCATGAAATACACAGTGGAGTTTAGGCCGAGAAGGAGTAAGATTGAGATGTGGTTAAAGTTGGTGAGGTTCAGGGTGTTTTGTGTGACGTAGTATTCAGGATTGTTCCGTTTCTGATTCCTGAAATGAATAGTCTTCGTTAACATTCCATCAAAGTTAACATTTGTTAGAACTTTAAATTGTGAATTTTGGAAAAATTAAGTTTAAATTTAAGATTCAAAAGCTTTTAAATTCAAAATAAGACGATGCATCGCTGATTTCTTGCTTTTATTCACTAATAGTATTGATATTTCAATAAAATGAGATGATCGTAGAGTGAGAGTACTATGAAAAGACGAGGGAGTAATTGTTAAAGTCTGGGTTGCTACTTTGGGATGGGTCAATACTGTGAGAATAAATTGGATGGCACATATTGCTATAAGTATTTCGGAGCAGATATATCCCTCCTAAAAGTAAAAAGCATTGTTATTACGAATTAATTACTCTATCTATCACATACATCCGAAAGATAAAACTCCTCTACGTTGCATTGTATACAAAAGCAATAGGGATAGGGTAGAAGAGTTTTTAATCAATCAATAAATGATGCTTTTGTTTGTAACTGATGAATGATAATTTCCTTTCATGGTATTGAATTCCTAAAAAAGTAATTCCAAATCATCCAAATAGCGCTAGACATACAGCTCCACTGCGACATAGGTAATTCGTTAGAAGTAATGCAGCCAGAGACCAAAATTTTCATCCATCGCCCGTGACACATACCAGCAAGTTTTATCATGGACACATTCAGACTCAGTGGTATTTTGTTAAAAAAATGAAATTTCATCCTACTATGTAAAAATTTTTGGATATTAAATAAAGCAATTGAAGACATGGTGTTTTGCATGGAGTTGTGAGGTCAAACTGTCGAAAATCTCAATTTTTTCACGTTGACTTTTAGAGATTTTTTGAAATTTGTTTGAGATATGCTTGAAATATTTGAATTCACTCAGTGTAATTGCAGGTGAGAGGTTGAGGACAATGGGCGAAGCGCAACAATCGATCGTTCCAACAATAATTCAGAAAGTGCACTTCGGTAGTCTTGCTAATGAAGAAATTGTTCATAAGCTACAGGTACTGACAATTTTGTTTCATTTAATAAAAATCATGAAAAAGACTTCTTTAGCTCAAACAATTAAACACACTAATAGCTATGTCAGTTCATTGACTACCAATCAGTTTTACTCTCCATTTTGGTCTTTTTTAAAACTAACTTGTCTTTTTTTGATTATCTTTTACCCTGTGATAGAAATGAAGTCTTAGATCCTATTTCTGGAGGTTTTTATTCTTTTTCAGTGACACTGATGTGTAAACTCCTGAGTAAAGAATTTATAGGAGTGAAATTGGATGAATTTATTAGGCAAAAAATTTGATTTATCAAGCAGATACTAAACTATTCTCAATGTAAGAAACTTGCTTTTTCGGGAAGAAATAAAAAATTTCTTGTATTGAGGAAGTTTTAATATCATCTCATACTGCAGCTTGACTCTTCATCAAATAGTTTCAGTAAATGATGAATTGAAGTTATTTCGTTCCAAACCGAAGTAAAAAATACTAGACATATAAATTACCATTAATTTGTCCATGACAGAGTATAAAATCTTCCAACTAGATTTGCATTAAATAATGCCCAAATTGGTTCCCAAAGTTGTTGAAAATGTTTATGAAGAAAGTTAGAAATTTTTAGATGATGCATTGTATTTCAGGCAGAAGCTGAAAAACGTGAGGCTGAAAAGAGGGATGACCAATTCGATTTGGAGATGGTGGATAATCCCATGGAAAGGGAAGTAATGGCAGAGTTCGAGAGACGACGACGAGCTCGTACTTTAACTTTACCCACAGATGATGGACATGTTAAACTGCTTTTGCGGAAACTTAACGAGCCGATATGTGAGTTGATTTCGAATTTCTGAATTTTTTATGTATTTTTAATTCTGTAAATCTAAAGACGCAGTCGTAGTTAAATATTGTTCCCAACTTTTCGGATTATTGTAAGGGCCAAAAGTTAGCAAGAGTATAACAATAATAATTAATGAATCAATCGAGATAATGATCGTATAACGTAGCAAATGAAATCGCTCAAACGTCTGTTCAGTTGACTCTCTGTCAAACATGTGTATGTTTTATTGATTTCATATAATTATTGGTTCCTTTGTATTTTTGATGGTTCATTTCATCTAATTTTTATGAACGAAATATTTCAGGTCTTTTCGGAGAGGACAAGCTGGACCGGAAGGAAAGATTGCGAGCTTTATTATCAACGCTATCTGAAGAGGAAGTTACAAGGATACTGCACAGTCCTGAAGAGACAGAAACTGTGCAACAACGAGATTCATCTACATGGTATCATAAAGGACCGGCGGCCCTTCGCGATGTCCGCGTCACGATTGCTGATTTTTCTTTAAGAAGGGCTCAAGAAAGGTTACAAAAGGTATATTGTTTGAACCTCATCATTACTGATTTGGAATTGTCACTGATACCAATGGTTAACTGTGATTTCCAGGCTCGTGAAGAAACTACTCGTGCGACAAATGATGCTGCTGTGCGTGCACAAGAAATGCATCGATGGGTTGCAGCACTGGCAGTTTACGGTTCACAAGTAGCAGATGTTCGACCTGTTTCATATTGTGAATTTTCACCTGATTCAAAACATCTTATCACTTCTGGATGGTGTGTTTCAAAATTTAGTCATGTGAGGAAGATTTTTTAAGTTTCTATTGTCGAAGTCGATGGAAAGCAAAGTATGTGAAGTGACAAGTGGGAGTAGAAGGTGAAAGAAAGTGGAAGATTGAACTGATTAACACGTAATGTTTGGCAGCATTTATAATTAGTTGTAGCTAGTGGATATTGTTGACATATGAACTCAGACAATGTAAAAGTCTGCTCAATTGTTTTAAATTATATTTTTGAGTGATTTCATTTTTAGGTCAGGAGAATGTAGCATTTGGTCGATACCAGAAAGTAACCGTGAAAGAAAATTTGTAGGACACGCCAGTCAAGCAGGATGCGCCAGATTTCATCCAGGAGCATATGTTTTTCAGGAACCATATGCACTGAATGCGGCTAGTTGCAGTCATGATGGAACGGTAAAATTATGGAGCCTGGAAAGTGATTCACCATTATCCGAACTTGAACCACATTCTCAACGGGTGTCTCGGATTGCATTTCATCCATCTGGGCGATTTCTTGCTTCTTGCTGGTACTCATTTCAAGTTCTTTTTAGGCAGAAGTATGAATGATGTTATACGAATGATGAAGTTAAAAGTATGCCTCTACGGCGTCAAAATTGAAACTTATTGTAACGAAATAGCCAAATTTTGTCATATTTTTAATATGATGGGACTTTTGTCTATTTTCAATTACAGTAACAGTAGCTGTGATTCAGTGGGAACGTTTGTGTAACTTTAGCTACAAGGAACTCATTGTAATGAATGTATATATAATGGAACTCTCTAGGAAATCTTCACTGGTATTAAATATCCTTGGGGCGAAGAGATTCGTTGGACTGTTAGACGATTGATAATTTTGCTTTCTTTCCAGTTTCGATTGCTCATGGAGATTGTTCGATTTACAGTACGGACAGGAAGTTCTTTTTCAAGAAGGACACAGTCGGCCTGTTTTCCATGCAGATTTTCAAGTGGATGGATCACTTATTATGACAGCGTAAGCTAATAGATTATTATTTTACATTATATTTTATTATGACATTTGTTTTTTGCAGCGGTATGGATTGTTATGGCCGTGTATGGGATCTACGAACAGGCCGCTGTATTATGTTTCTGGAGGGTCATCAGAAAGAAATTCACTGTGGGCAATGGTTACCGAATGGGTGAGTTGGAAAAGATTTTCTATCAAAATCTTAGTTCGTTTGATTGTCAGTTAAAATGGCTCAAAATGCTTTACTCGTCCTAACACTGTGAGCGAAAAGCTGAGGGGAAATAGCTTGAAACTTAGTAAAAATCGATTGTTTTAGTTATCAAATGGTCACCGGTTCTGCGGATAATAGTTGCATGGTTTGGGATTTGAGAATAAGGCGTGCACTCAAACCAATTGCGGCGCATACTTCTCTTGTGTCTGGTCTTCGGGTAGAATCAAAAGGACAGTACATTATTACATCATCTTTTGATAACTCTCTGAAAGTAAGTGTTCTAAAATGACATTTGTGATTGTTGAAAAGAAATTAAACAAATGAAACGAGAGGTTATTGTTCGGGAACTTTGCGTCTTGAAAAATTGTGTTCCCTTATTGTTACATATGAATTTTCGTTTCTTTTTTTAACAAACATTTGATCGAGATTTTAGGTTTGGGAAACTTGTGGTTGGCGGCCTTTGCGGCAGCTCATGGGTCATGACACGAAAGTGATGGGAGTTGATGTATCACCCGATGGAAAGTGGGTTGCAAGTGTTGCTTTTGACCGTACCTTTAAACTTTGGACGAAGCAGCTTTATTAAATCTTGAGATCTCTTCCAATGTTGCATTTATAAGGAAGTTTCACCAAGTTGAATATTCACTCAATACAAAGGTAACTGGACGTGCCTTCCAAAAGGAAACTTAGAACATAGACTATTCCTTTCCATATCTTTGCTGTTATTCTGAGGGCTATTAGTAGGAACATTATGCAGTTGAACTAGGAGTAAAATGTTTTTTTTTTCCTTTTTCAAGAAGAAACATGAGAACGAATGTTGTTTGATGGCTGTTTTATGAGGTTTCACGATGTGAAATTGTAAAAAAAAAATCGTTAAAAAAGCATATTCTGTGATATTCTTAATGTAACAGTCAATGTTTGCTGAGCGTTTAGCAATTACGAGTCGATTTAAATCGATTGAGTCCTCATTTGTTGTTAATAATTTTAATAGGTTAGTAGAATTTGTTGACCAAACGTTCACTTCTTTCAAGTTTAGTTTTTGTGCGAGCTGATTTTTGATTTCGAGAAAGTTATATTCAGCAAAATTACC